GAGAAAAATTCCAAGAAAATTTATCTTTAACGTTTATGACAGGCATGTTATATGCCTAACCCAATTTATCCCATATATTCTATGTTTTTTGTTGAAAATTTTGCATCACATGATAATTTTTAGAAATGCATGAGTCCTGTTTTTGCAGAACTGATTAAACTCAGCACCATATTCCCCTTAATATGCACTGAGAAGATGAACTACTTAGGACAATATGGAAAAGAAAGACGGCTAAATGTCCCCCTTGGAGAAGTGTCTGTTCTGGTCCTTTGCCCATTTTTTAATTGGATTGTTTGTCTTCCTGGTGTAGGGCCATGTGAGTTCTTTATATATTTTGAAGATCAAACCCTTGTCCAAGGTATCATTGGACAATATCAAATATATTTTCCCATATGGTTGGTTCCTTTTCCATTTTGATGATGTTTTCTTTAGCCATGCAGAAGATTTTTATTTTGGAGAAGTCCCATTTGTTTATTCTTTCCTTTATATTGTTTGCTCTAGGGGATATATTGGTGAAAATGTTGCTGCATGGAATATCTGAAATTTCCCTATGTTCGCCTCTAAGACTTTTATGGTGTCACAACTTACATTTAAGTCTTTTATCCATCTTAAGTTTATTTTTGTGTATGGTGTAAGTTGGTGGTTTAATTTCATTTTAAATGCCATCAGCATAAAAAATTATTAATTTAACCTTGTTACAGTAGCAAATAGATCTCCTGATCTAAAGGTAATTATTTGGCTTGAACTATATGATGCTCTGGAATTTCTATACCTTGGACAGAGAGAAATGAAAGTTGTTTTTATAATGCAAGAATCAGGAAAGGAAATATTGGTCAATAAATTAAAGCTTAGGAACTTTTATAAATCTGGAAGTTATGTTCATGTCTCTCACTATGAACAATTTAATTTTATAAGAGGACTATAATTTCCAATTGACTAGAAAATTTTATCACTTGAATAATTACTATTTGGTTTGAAACCAATATCTGTATTTTCCTAAACTATCAGTACTAATGGTTTTCAAAGCAGCCCTGCAAAGAGATACATGCTTGTTTGTGTATTTTGTGAAAAAGGGTTTTACGCATTCTGCTTTGATTAAATTGCTCTACCCATAACCGCATGGCCATCTTCAGTCCTGCTGACTGGTTTGCTGTTTAAAACCAAACCTGTGATACAAATTTCACTGCACATCTCTGAAAGACTCTAGTTCTGTTTGCCAAGTATTTCCAGGTCTCACCTTACCAGTACACAGTAGGACTGCATCCCTGGGCCTCCTATGGGTCTGATCAATAACTTTAGGTAGACTGATGACAGGATTGACAACCAAGAATGTTGTGGCACCAATGGGAATGTCCATCTTGAATGAACTCACACATGAGCAAATTGTGAAAGGTAAATATTTTCATTTTTATTTCTAAAATAACAGGAATCTTCTTTTTATACAGCGGTTTAAACAGACATATAACACGTACACGAACAACAATAATAATATCTACAAGGATATTTTTCCTGTTCCACAAATGAGGAAACTAATGTCCTAGGAGCTAAATTAATTTTACTCAAGGTCTAAAATAGACTAAAATAATAAACACGTTAAAAAGTCTTCATATTTCTCTTCTGTCCTATCTTTGGGAAACCTGCCATGACTTGACTGTCTCCAAAGCAGATTCAATATTTCTCCTGCCACCCTGCTTCCCACATGCACCCACAACCCTACTTCTGAAACCAAATTTAACCCCTATCCTTCTACATGCCCAGGATCCACACAGAGTGGTGGGTGACTGAGCCCATGGGGGCATGGAACTGGCCTGGGAGTGGAAGCTATCAAGTCCAGCGGGCCTCAATAGCTTCAGGCTTTTCCAAAGGTCATCAAACAGCTTGCAGGTTGAGTCTTAATCTTGCCAAGGTTGACCAAGAAGCCGAGCTCTTGCAGGTCAATGATAGGTTAAAGGGTTGGTAGGCGAAAGGGTCAGTAGACCTGCTTCCTTAAAGCCTAGCCACCAAATGTTAAGCTCAACTTTTCCTCAGCAAACATTTCCACACTGAGCACTTAGGTGTTGTTCCGGACAAGAAGAGAAAGTCTCCCAAGGAAGAATAACTGTCTCTTCTCATTCCAGCCTTCCTTCTCCTGGAGCTCACGTCTCAGCCCAGGACACAGAACATCCATGAGAAATGGGGAAGCCTAGGCAAAAAGGTTGAAGCACCGGTCAACAGAAAGAATGATGGCTAGCATATATGGATAACTTAATTTGATCCAGGTACTACTTTACAAGTTTTTAATGTATTAGCTCATTGAGTCTTGAAACTGTCCTGGGAGGTGTGTACTATTTCTAGCCCCATTTTACAGATGAGAAAATGGAGGCACAGGGGCATTATGCAATTTCCTCGAGGTCACACAGTCGGAAGGTTATTAGCCCAGCTTTATTGATCTGTGCCCTACACCTTCTCCATGCTGCCCTCTCCACCCTGAACTCAGTGCTCAGTGCCTGTTCTCCCTCCTCTGCTCCCTAAGCTTGGTCTCTACAATGACTGCAGCTCTGAAACTTCATGTAGAAAACAGTGTTGCTTCTCTCCAGGTAGTTGTTTAATCAGTGTTATTTTTCACAGTGTAATAAAGAGTGTAACTTTTTAGATGAATTTCTGGCATAAACAGATATGTGGAAGAGATTATTAAGGGAACAGAGTCGTAAACCCGAAATTGCTCTTGGTTAAACTGGCTCTGTTTGGGTCCCATGAAAGGCTCGGTCTTCATATGAACAGCAGAGGGCGCCATGTACTTGTGGCTTCATCATGAAAATGCTGTTCTCCACCCCACCTCGCCTTCCAAGATGGTGTATCCCAATTAGAATCTACACCTGAAGCAAAATGGCTGTTTTTCACAGCTCTGCAGTCCTTCACTGACCCTGGGACCTCCTGACAAGCCTGCCCCCATCATGTTTCTAAAAGCAATGGGACCCGAGGTCACTGGGATATGAGGAGCTTCCACCACCTTCAGAGACCTCAATTCTCTGCAAGTCCAGTCCTGACCTCCCTCCCGCTTTGAATTGCACCCACTTCCTGAGATCCTGTCAGTCTCTGATTTTGTATTCTGAATTAAAGTCTGAAATAGACCTTTTCCCTGTGGTCTAGCTCTGCCCTGGACTCTGACCTGCTTTGCACTTACCACCCACCCCATGTTGCTGAGTTATAATTCTGCCCTAAACACTGGATAAGGCCTGACCTCTGATCTCTGCTGAAGGACCTCCCCCTCCTGCTGCCAGCTCTCCATTTTGGACCTGGGAAGATCACTTAGTGTGAATTTCTTGTCCCTGTCCTTAACACTTGTTGGATCTCAATATGGTCTGCCACAGTCCCAGCTGTTGTTCCAGAATCCTTCTGATACCACATGCCAACAGAAATGACAAGCACAGCCCCAGTTACTGAGATAATTCAATAAGCCTTGGGCCACCAGACTAGGAAGTGCTGAAAGAGTGTAACCTTAAATTCACCCCCACCTCATAGGTTCCAAAATAGAAGTTGAAGAATTATGTGAATTTCTTTGGGGAGATTTGTTCGTGCATTCCTACCTCCTTCCTACACTTTCTTCTAATACTGTCTATAGAGTAGTCCCAGATCTTGGCTTTTACCTGTTTTCTCCATCTTTCACGACAGCCACTAGCTGGGCATAAGACCACAACCATGCCTCTATTCTCCAGAATGGCTGGATATATAATCCCCAGGATGGAGGGTCTCAGTCTGAGACAGTTTTATAAACTCCCTAACAGCTCAAGATGGAACCTGAATGGAAGGGTCAACTTTAATAGGTCATCTGAACTATTAGTGGCTATTAGTGATTAATTAGTGACTAATCAAGTAATGCTATAGTGATATTCCACCACGGAGGAATCCTATGGTCTAGAAAATGGGCAGAGGTTGGAAGGGTTAACCTTTGTAAAGTTCTACTAAATCCTCACTCTCCCTTTTAAAGTTTTCATATAAAAATACAAATGTCAGGATGGTTAATTTAGGATAATATGCCAGGGTTTGCCTCTGGTTTCCCAGCAACCCAAATATGCTATCAATGTATATACCAGAGCCCTCCTTACTCTCCCTCCCTCTGGGACACCAGCACATCAGGTTTGTAGGATCTGTAACACAGGAAGCCCCTTTAGGATTCTTTAGTTTTATAAGTTTTGCCTTTTTGCTTTGTCCCATTGCTGAATATATGAGCCATGACTCAAAAAGGAAAGGAATGTAAAAGAGGATGTGCCTGTTACCAGGTGGTGCTTAAAAACAGAACCTGAGACCCATCTATATCCACGCAGAAAAGCCATGAAACTTTCCAAGACAAAACCATATCAAGGCTAATCTTTCCTGCCCATACTTCTCTATTCTCTATTATCTCTCAGGCTTCTGGCTGCCATTGCGTGACTTCTCCCCTTTGTGGCTGCCTAATAGCTGTTTTCTCCTAATTTCCCCTGTGTAGAAATGTGCCAAAGCTGGCTGTGAGTAGAGAGCTAAATTTGCTGTAACCCCACTCATATTCCCTTAGGAATGATCTAAGGGTGGGGGCGGGCAACTTTATTAGGGAGAGACAGGCTTGTTGTTTAGTGATTTCAATCAGTGAAGTCTTCCTTCTGACTATTGGGCTACAATAAATGGTACCACTCACTGCCAAGATGGGAATAGGTGTGTGAGTGCTGTGGACAGCAAGGGTGCATCCTGCAGCAGTGCAGGTGTCATGACAGGATCCTCACACTGAAGACAGAAAAAAGGAGTGCTTAAGAGCTGGTCCTGTAAATTGAGATGACATAGGCTTTTAAAGAAGATGTGCATAGTTTCATTTACATGCTGGGCAATAAAGAAGTTTCTGCTCTCTGAAAGCTACATCCACCTGTCCCCTTCCAACTTGCTCCAGCATCACAGAGTAAGGAAGAGCATGTTCACAAGGGGCACTGAGTGGTCTGTCACAACTTGCCAGTGAAGTTTCTTCTCGAGTTTTTAATACTTACATCTCATCCTCAACGATTCATTAACTTTGATCCATTGGTTGGGCTTAACGATGCATTCTATATGGGAACAAAAATAACAGTGATGTCAATGAGTAATTGCAATAACAAAAATGCACATATACAATTTATGTATATGTCTTCCTAGAGATAAACAAGTAAATATAAAGACATGAGAAGAAGTATCTACACTGATACAGCTACACAGAATTAAATTATCATGTTTGACTGAATCTAACATTGGAAGCTACGATGTTATTTTTATGTTCCACCAAGAAAGAAAAAAAAAATAAACTTGTCAATTAAACCAGGACATGCCATTGACTGGGAGATACATTTCTGTCTCAGAGATGTTAAAAGGTGAAGAAAATGTCTGTCATTAAATTGGTGAACTATGTTAAAAGTCACACTTAATATTAGATAACCATTAATGCTGATTCCTAATGTGTCCAGAAAGTTTTTTGTTTGTTTGTTTTTAAGAATATAGTTCTTATGTAGAAACTGTTAGTTGAGTAAATGACTTCTTTCTAATTAATATAACAGTGGTAGCAATTTTCATTGGTATCTGAAAGGACAGATGACAAAAGTCATCTTCAAGATCTTTACGTACACAGACACTTCAATTCAACAGAGTGTGATTTACTGAATGAATCCAGGGCAAGCAGAATGTTAATTCTCATGGTGAGCTGGGTGGTTTCGGGAAAATCTCAAGCACTCTGAGCCTTGGTTTCCTTGCCTGTGAAATGAGTGAGATAGACTAGAATTTCACTTATCATTCATCCCTTATTTCTGCCCACTACCATTTTATGAATCTGTGGTCCTGGGTCCATGTTACCAATATCGGTGGTACAAATGTCAAGTTGAAACACGTCCAATGTGGAAAGTTCTCTTGAGGGGTATATTCTGCTCACCTTACGCATTAACAGGATACTCCAACATTTATTGAATGAAGAAATAAATGAATGAAGGTGTACCCTAATAATTCTCTTTGCTAACAGATCCTGAACACTGAGCTATAATATTTGTGTGACTCTGCTAAGCACACTGACCCTCTAGTACTGAGACTGAAAAGGAGAGGCTTACCTCTGCTACTCTTGGCTGACCCTTCAGTGAAGACATCTTCATCCTCAAAGCATCTCTTATCTAAAGAAGCAATAACAGTGTAGAAATGACAACATCCCCAGTCCCCAGATAGCTGTCCTGAAACTTTGATAGCAGTAGCACTGGCAGAAGCAGCATCAGATGGCTTAGCACAGTGTTTGGCAAGTAGTAATGCTTAGATAAATGTTGAGGTGTAGTTGTAATGAAGTTTACAATTAAGGTTAAAATTGTAGTTATACTTTTTATTCTTTTCATGAGCTATACTCACATACAGCCTTCTGTTGACTTGATGAAGTGCAGAAAACGAGAGAATAGAGTTCTTTTCTTTTCCCCTCATAGCTGATACCCTGAACCACCTCCTCAGACTCAATTCCCATGAATCAAGCTCTCTGATCACACCTGCTTCATCCTCCTGCTTCCCTCAGCCACATGGAAATCATTTACAATGAGTGAAACACATTCAAATTACCTTCTGATCCATAATGGTTCCAAATAGCAAGATGAAGAACCCCTGTGACAAAATTCAACAGAAGCATGAGAGACAGTTTTGCAGGCAATATCCCAGTTGTTTTGTTAATACCAGTCTTGTAGATACCTTCTAGGACCATTATCAGACATTAGAAACTTTACTTTCTACTGATTCAAATAAAAATGCATTGATGTAGAGTGTATTTCCATGAGTATACCTCAAAGAAAGAGGCTCACTTTCATGTCTGTGCATCACAGTTATGGATATTTATTAAATAGCTACAGATGTAGGATAGAGTTTTAAACCTTACTAAGTCTTTGTGTTTCCTTCCCAAATATTAAGGTAGCTGTTCTTATTCATGATGACAATAAGACATGACATTGGATCTTGTAGCTCAAAGTCACAATCATGGAAGGTGTCTTGAGATAATAAAACTTGTATTCTAGGCTACTTTTACACCAGATTCTTGGGGCTGGTGGAAGAAGTTTCTGCATAAAAGAGAAACTCCATGAACTGATAAAGTCAGAGTCTCCTCAAGTTTACAAATTTAGTTACTTATAAAGTTCTAACAATTGGAAGGCAATCTTTTTAAAAGCTGGGAGTTGAGATCCAAGAAAAATCTGGATTCTGACATGAGAATGGAGGGAAACCTAGGTTTCTACAGATAGTTTTATGGTGAAGAAACACTGATCAGAAGACTGAAATTTTAATATATGAGTCACAATTGTTTTAGTATTTTTCTTTCTATTAAGAAAGGAGGAAAATAAATTATCTGAACAAAACCACTTAACTTTCTGAGGATTAATTAAATTGAAATTAAAAATAGGATGATATCATTAGTCACCAGAGTAACTGGTAAAAACCTTTCTTCTCTCCTCCAAAGTTCAGGAGGTTTACATGAGTCCAAGAGCTTTTAATTTTAAAAAAATATACAACAATAAAAGGCAAAGGTTTCTCATCAAGGAACACACATAAAGGACCCATGGACAAAGCCAAAAGGGAGTAAGATTGAGGGTGGGAGGTGGGGGTGGGTGGGGTGGAGGAAAGTGATGGGGAGAAAATGGAGACAATTTGTACTGGAACAACAATAAAAATAAATAAAGAAAATATGATAAAGAAAAAAAATAAAGCAATGCAAGCAAAAGAGTAAAATAAATGTTCTCCATAGTTATTAAAGAATTATGAGTAAGATACAGAATTTATCTGAGTTGGCATTTATTTAAAGCTTATTTTATATTTTTTACCACATTTTTAAATAGAGTGATAATGATGTGTTAATAGGAATACTTTCCTGCTTTATTGTGCAGTAATATTTATTTTATGTAAATACTAGTCATTTTTTTTCTTTTTGCTTCAAAGAAGCAGATAATAAATACTTTGCGTTTTGCAGGCTACACAGTCTCTGTTACAAGTACCTCAGCTTTGCCATTGTAGCTCAAAACAGCCACAGGCAAAATGTAAATGAATGAGTATGGCTGTATTTCAATAAAACTATTTACAAAAACAGTCAGCAGGCCATAGTTTGCCAACCCCTCATTAAAACATAATTAAGAATATAAACTGGCCAAACTGTTTGTTACCCATAGGTATGGAAAGCAGTCTGGCTAACGACAGTTTACCAACTGTGTGAGCTTAGTAGCCAAGATGTAGTAAAACAGCTCTTAGAGGGATAATTGTGCCAAACGAGTATGTTAAGGGAAAAAAAGACAATAGAGATCATACCAGATCCGCCTTTTTATCTTATAGATGAGAATGTTAAGGTCCACAGAAAAGTGAATTTCTCGGGATCAGGCAACATGTGGTAAAATTTATTTCTATGAATAACAACCTGCAATTGCATCACAGGGAAGAGAGGCATGACCCCTCCTGACTGGTTGCCACTCAAACAGAATGAGACCCCATGGAAAATGGCTCATTTCCCTGAGTTCTCAAACTACTTGAGAAAGGATAAAAATTGTGCTTGTTTTGAAGTGTAGCTTCACATGTCTCTGACCCAAGACTAGTCCTTGATAAGTGCAAGTCGACTTCTTCTTACATTGAAACTTTAGGAGGGAAACAGGTGGATCAGGGAGGAGAGAAGGAAGGAAACTCCCACTCAACCAACCTGATCAGTTAAATGCGGTTTGATAATCAATATTGTAAGATATGCCACAACTAAAAATCCTTAAGTTATGGAGGGAAATGGGAGAGATATTTTGTGTTCTATATTTTAAAATCAGAGCCATTTTTGTTGGAAAACCAGAATAACAAATTATAAAATAATAATATAAGTGAAATATTCTTTAATAATATTAATTAGTAAAACACATCTCTCTCTTGGAACTTACCTGGAAAGCATTGAGCAGGGCAAAGATTATGTGGAATATCAATGAATTGCCTTCTATGAGGGTGGCTATTCCAAAACCCCAGGTCAGTCCCAGCAGTGGGGTAAGGATGGCAACATTTTTACTGATCCTCCGAATTATGGCCACATCTTGAGACTTGGAACTGCCAATAAAGGGCCTCTGAGTGTTGACAGCAACAACCAAAACCACAAGTAGATTCACAGCCACAATGACCAAAGCTGGGATGGCAAATGCTAAAAGGGCTTTGGTATTATCCCAGTTAAGCCAACAGGCATCATGTCTCACATAGCCTTTCTCTGGCACTGTGATAGCAACTGTGGTGACAGCAATGATCAACGGAAACCCATAGCCAATGACAAAGCCAATGGCCATCATGCGGGACTTCATCATCCTATGGAAAACAACCAATATTCCGTAGATGATCAGCAGTGCTTTGAAGAGCATCCAAAAAAACAGAGAAAGGTAGAAAAAGTGGCTAAAAAATGTCATTGCAACACACCATTTGTGGTCCCGGGCCTTTTTGCTAAAGTTGGAGGAGATAATGAACCACACATTAGCTGTCAGGAGCGACACAGCTATGTTAACGATGCACACATGGCGCATGTATGATATCTCTGTGACAACAACCCGGGACCACACCGTAGCTTCAATCAACAGGCAAAGAATCAGGCTAAGAATGGAGACGCTAAGCCCAATGCAGGTGATGTAGTCCAGGATTTTGTTATCTATAGATTTGGGGGACATAAGGATGGAAAAAGACATCACCGCGTTGGTGTAGTTACACCGGCATTTCACTTTGTTCCTGATGTCCGACGTCATTTCACATGCATTCTCATCCCATCTCCTTTTTCTGGAGTGCCAGCCCACACACTGGGCCCTGGCACTCCGAGATTTATTGATCTTCTCAAACGTGAGTAAGATTTGCTTTAATCTTTCTGGCAAAATCACCGAAAGGACCAGACCATTTACTGGCCTGGGAAAACTCACATTTTGCAAGTGGGCTTCTTCCAGAACAGCCCCCAAGGTGGGAAAAGCTATGCTGATGGCTTGGGATGTATTTGGTGGTAACTTCCATAGCTCATGCTTGGGAATTTCTATCATTCCTAAGATATCCTCTGTTGTATTGTTCATGTTCCTGGAGAATCTGAAACTTTTCTCTGAGGTATTGTGGTTGAGGTGAAACCCTTTCGTCTGAATGAAGGGTTCATCCACAATATTCTCAGATTCATTTTGGATATGGAGTTGCCGAGCGAACAAATTCACTGACTGCAGCAAATCCGAGCTGGCATTCTTGTTGGGGATGAAAGTCCAATTTGAAATGGCTGCTGAGTCAAGGATGTGGTTGGCCACTATGCTATAGCTCTGCAATGGAAAAAAGTGGATATTATACTAAGGATTTACTCTTTATTTTACAAAGTTGGTTTCTAAAGTCTGAAATTTCTGAATCTAATCATCTAATCTTATTTGACATATTTCTCTTCAAATTTCCTGTTCATTGCATCTCATGCTAGTAAGCCTGCAGGGAAGAAAAGTAAAAGAATTCTAAAAGTAAAATAAAACACAATGTATAATAGGTAAAATTTATCTGCTTTATTATGTGTCTAGGGAAGCATTTCCAAAATGCAGTCTGTATAACACAAGTCTCCCGTAAAATAATAACAATTGTTTAATGAAGGGAATTGGGGATAGACTCTATGATAACTTAAGTTTGAAAAATACCATGTCCCTATATCCCTCATTGTTTTAAAGGGTACTAACATTCATTAACACATTAAAAGCCCTAAAAAGTCCTGCCACAAGGAAACTGTTTAACTCAAATTCCCTACACTTGCCATGCTATGGATCTCTCTATTAAAAATGAAAGCTCCATTAACTTTTCTCAGGACAATTATGTTCTACAGAATAAAAATTTGGAAACACTGGAATAGACACAACTTTGCTCACAAGCCATCACTATGTGATTTATTTTCTGAAAATACTAATTCTGTACAAAAATTTGTAAACGAATGTTCTAACTTCTTGACAACTTCCATAAATCAGAATGAATCAATGTGAAGAACTGAAATGGAATTTCTGTTATTGTTGTTATGCTTCCTGTGGTGGCTATAGTTCTTACCCTGACAAATATATCTGAAATTGTTAAAGTGCAAGATTTTGGGAAAAATAAAGGTCAGTTTTTTAATGGCATTAACAAAGAATACCTACCTTCATTTTCTCTTGGGTAACATTATCAGACAAGTCTGTAGAAATATTTTTTAATAACTGGACAATAAATGCAATATTTCCAGATGTGGCTTCCGAGGATTTCACAACATTGATTATGCAGGCATAGTCCTGTAGACAGTTCTTGCGGATTCCTTGCACTACACTCTCTATGGGCTCTGGCGCTTGAAAGTCAAGAATGCGCAGAGGTATAGAGGGTGCTGCGATGGAAAGGCGCGACACACTGTTTAAGTCCTGTGTTTTTTTAAAGAAAAAGGTGTTTTATTAAAATTTGACTATGCAACTTATATGTATCAGACTAAATGAGTTAAAGGCACAAATGATCCACATGGAGAAATCAGACAGAGAAGTAAATGGTCCTAAAAAGTGGTTTAGGTGCTGAGAAGGGCAGAGGGGGTAAGGTGGAGTCACACACAGGCAGGAGATGCTATCAAAATTCCCACAGAGATCAGCATCCTGACTTTTCCTATCAAAATTTGCTTTCAAGACTGTGACTTTAACTCAAGTATTATAATGAGGCAATTTTCTCCAGAGATGTGGAGAAATTCTAGAAACAAAATTTGTCTAATTACTTTTTTTTTCCCAAGAAGAGCCACATGAAATTTTGAGGGAGGAGGTGGAGCTGGAGGTTGGCAGGTCAAAGAAGGAACACAAAGGAACTGTAATTTCAAAAAGTTGAGTTCACTAATTAGAAGAAATTATTCACTTGTTTCCTCATGCTTTTACCCAGAGTCTCCCAGAATGTGACTTTGGATAAGTCAAAGCAATAATTCACTACATTTAATTCACTTTTGAATGTCACTACCAATGCTAAGTTATAGAGACTCCACACCTACCCCTTTACAAAATCACTGCTAGAGTTTCAGGAAACTATGAGATCCATGTGCTTCTACAGGATTGGAGAGAAGGTAGGTGGACATGGTGCTTAAGTGAAAGAACATAAGATAGGACATTTTAATTTGCACTCAGATTCCTTGTCTTTGGATTTATATTTCCTTTGGGTTACGCATTTCTCCTTTCTTTTGGTCAAGTGATTGAGAGTGTTAGAAGAAAAATTCAAAATGAATTTGATTCTAAGCACATTTAGTCGATTAATTGGTTAGCACAAGAGGCATGCAACTTCATCTTTAGGTCTAAAACTTTAACCTCCAACCATTTACCATTCTGTAAGTGGGTTTCAGATCTGATTTTGAGAAAACAATTCTGAAAAGGAGAAGAGGAGAGTAGGGACAGAAGAGAATTTGGGTAAGAAAGGAAGAAAGAGAGGCCAATTTAATAAACTATGTAGATTTTCTAAAGCCCATCTAAGACTTATTGTCATGCCAGACAGAACACATTAAAAATGCCTCTACCTCCCCCAGAAGGATTGGTTCCTGTAGCCAATAATACGCAAATACATCACCTTAAAGAGCATTTCCAGAGAAAGGCTTGTACATGTTTCAGTTGATTTTTGCCACTTCTTTTGATTACATGTAAATCCTATTTCTCCATGAAAGGGCTGAGCACAAGTCTCACTGCAGTTGGATGGACTGATGCAAGGTCCATGGCATTTCTCTAAAAAGGAAAAAAAAAAGAGGGAGAGAAAAGTCTACCTCATAGTTCTACACTTTGATGGGGGCATCAAACTCATACTGGGGATTCTGGACTGCTTCCAGAGAAGGTGACATTGACCTGGGTCCTCAACAATAAGAAAGATCTGCTATGCAGAGTGAACAGCACAGGGAAAGGAGGGATCACTGCCGTTTAGAAAGGTTAGTTCCGAGTATCTGAGGGGAGAGTGGCAAGGGATGAGGAGGGGCAGTGAAGCAGTGGTCAGGCTCTGGAGGATCTTGAATGCTGTGCTAACATGGGGGTTACCAGAAAAACAAGCTTAAATTTGTCTTTGAAAAATAATTAACAGTAGCATAAATCAGGAGTCTGTAAACTTTTCTGTAAAAGATGGGATAAATGGCAAATAAAATATGTGGAGCTCAGTTAAATGTTCATTTTACTTTCAGATAACAGTCAGTTCTCATTATGTGCAGAGGTTATTTTCTATGAATTAACCGCCGCAAACACTAAACCAGCAAAGACTAAATGGTTTCTAGGTTAGGTTTCTGAGAGCTTCTGCTTGTAACATTTTTGTCAACAGATCAGTATTAATATATATTTGGTTTCCATGTGTTTCTACTTAAAGTCACCTTATGTAATACATATTGTTGATTTGTTGACATTGAACTCACAGCCAATAGCACTATCACTCAGCATATAAACAAAGCTTATCTAGCACAAGTATTTTGTCCATAAGGTACATCATAGCTCTGTTAGGAACATTAGACAGCACTTCAGCTCTGTTTGTGGGGACCATATTAAACAGCAAGACCATCAACAAAAAAGCAAAAAAAAAAAAAGCGCTACACAGACCATGGAATGAACACTTGTGTATAGTAAGAGAACTAGAAGAAGAAAAGACAGAGCACCACCTTGTTTAGTCTCAGCTGGGAACTGCACCTTGGCTGACTCAATCTTTTTGCTGTTCTGTGAATGTCTGTGAATGATCAAGAAACCTGGGGGTGTTCATTTGGAGACTACAAATACATTTCAAAGAGTAGGAGAATTTTCAAATGCAGTATCCACAAATAATGAGGATCAACTGAGGATGTTCAGATGAACAATGAATAATGTTTTAGGTTATGTATGGCCCATGCGTTATTACTCATTGTTTAAACGTAATCAGGTAATCTATATTTTTACATGCTAAAAATGACTACACTAGCCAGAGAGTAAATATTTTCAACATGGTGGGTCATACAGTCTCTGTGGCAACTATTCAGTTCTGCCTTTGTAGCACAAAAGCAGTCAAAGACAATGTATAAATGAATGGGCATGGCTGTGTTCCAATAAAACTTTATTTACAAAAACTAATGGGAGGCCTAACTTGGTCCATGAGGAGAGTGGATTGACTTGAGGTATGGTGCCCAGGAATGAAGCTGTTAAAGTATTCCCAAGAAGAATTTCCCTAGAATAGTGGCAGAGGAATGAGAAGAAGTAAATGATGCTGAGAACTATTAAGGTGCTGACATCAATATGATGTAGACTATTCGGCTGTGAGCTAAGGAATGCATCCATATTTATGGCACTGGTAGGTTTGTGGATGTCCCCATTCACAGAGGAAGGAAATAAATGGCTTTTCATCTTCGCTTGCCATTTGTCCAGTGTATCAATTTGGCAAGTTATTTAAGCTGAGTACTTGTCAATTTCCTCATCCATAAAATTTGGAGAGATACCATGGTTTTGTTACAAACATTGAGTGAGACAGCATCGTATGCAGCACTTAGACTATAAGTGCTCAATAAAGTTATCTCCCTCTCTCCTCTTTGTTTTTTCAATTTCATACCTAAGTAGACTGATCTTCCACCAAAAATATACTTGGCCATAACTGCAGAATCTAATTATTTTTACCATTTGAGTGAGAATCTCCTGATTTCATTCTCTTTCTACTGATTACTTCCATAGTTTGTCTCTCACTTCTCAAGAGTGACCAGTCTCAGCAACACAATATCTATCTGACATCATCTCAAAATACCTCTCAGCACCAAAGAATTACATACATTTAAGCAACCCCAAAAAATATCCTTGAAAGAAGGAATGAATGAATTCTGTCATCCTCTTCTGCTTCTTATTAGCTCATTAATTCAAATTTCCCTTATGGGTTTTAAAATAAACACTTACCCTGGTGTGGCTCAGTGGATAGAGTGCCAGCCTGTGAACTGAGAGGTCACTGGTTCGATTCCTCATCAAGGCACATGCCTGGGTTGCAGGTCAGGTCCCCGGTTGGGGGTGTGCCAGAGTGAACTGATCGATGTTTCACACATCGATATTTCTCTCCTTGTCTTACTACCTCCCTTCCCCTCTCTCTAAAAGTAAATAAATAAAATCAACAAAAATAAACACTTATCTACTATTCTAGAACATATGACTATTTGCCAACTTGCTTCGTTGACAATGCTAGGGATAATGGCATAATTGTAAGAAAATCTATCAATACTGGTAAACCTTGAGAACTTATTAGATATTTTTACTTTATTGGAATACTTGTGGTCTGGGGACATGCTTGCCATGTCTCCAAATGGAAGCAGGCTCTTCTGTAGTCACATACCTTGTATCTTTCCAGTCTTGGGTTTCTCTTCAAAATGCTGAAGTTTACCTCCATCCTGTAAAACATAAATCCCCAAAGGTCCTCTTTACTGTGGAATTCTCCTCTCTCATCTCAATTTAGAGGCTCCATGTGGATATGAAGAGAAAATGTGTTCAGGACTGGGAAGAAAAATGCAGCAGGTTCACGTGCTGATATCATAGGAACTTGCTGAAGGAAACATGGATGTGAGCATGGACAGAGAACACGCTGCCCCCCAAGCAGGGCTAGAAACTGGACAGTGGTCATTGGGGTTGTGAAGGTCAAGTTAGTGAATTGGGTACATCTTTTGGAAAGTTTAAGTACCCAGAGAGAACATAGAAACAATTACAACAATTAAGACCCCTTAATCTCTTCTCTAATTACCTTAATTGTAATTGTGAAATACAGCAAATATACTCCACCAGATACTATATATTCTTAGAAAAGAAGAAATAAACTGAGAGTAGAAATAAGTACTAGGTTGCAATAATAGAATTACAAACTCTTTTATAGCTATAAAGGACTGTAAAGATTATCTAAGAAAAAAAAGCACTTTATGTTACAAATAAGGAAATTACATCTCAGAGAATTGAAACAACTTGTATAACTAAAAAGAATCAAAGTTAAGGTCTGAACCTAAACTGCTTAACTCCCAGGTTAGTACAGTCATGAGCTACATAATGACATTTTGATCAATAATGGGCCATGTATACGACAGCTGTATATCATACAACCTGGCTGTGTAGCAGGTTATACCACCTAGGTTTATGTAAGTGCACTCTTACATAAACTTACTACGGTGTTCACACAATTATGTAAATCACCTAACAATGCATTTCTCAGGACGGTCCCTATCTGTCATTAAGAAGCTCATGACTGTACTTCCTCCTCTCAGTAGGTGCCTCTCTACATTCTTTGTGGTTTGCAAATTGATTTTTCTCCTAAGTTGTTGCACCCTATTGCACCTTGCAACTAAACTGTTGCAAGTCCCAGTCACCTCTCAACACTTTTTTGTCCCTGTCTTTAGAAAACTACTATCAGCAAGAGTAAAGTGGCAGTCATTTGAAAATTCCTTTAACATGACATTTAATCATAAATCTAGCCATCTAGGAGAACTACCAGTTTTCTCATGGGACCACATAAGAATGGATCAAACTTACTTTTGTGTGGATCTTGGCTCTATAGTGAAAACATTCTGTGGCCAGAAATAACATTAAACAGCAAATCATGGTTTCCTGGGGCTTCATTTTCACACATTAGGATCTTCGCCTACAATAGAGAATGAAGGTGGATCCAGCTGCAGGAGAGAATGCCACACAAATAACTCGATACTTAGCAGACTAACTAACTACTGAGTCACTCCACTGGGTGCTCCAAGATATTTATACCAAACAGTCTACCCAGGGAAGGACACCAACATCTATGTTCAGACCAGCTAATATGGAATAAAGCAGACTGTCTATTAGTTGTTGACCGGTTTACAAACAGTAGGCAAGAATGGTGGAAGTACCAGGGAAGGTGTATGCTCACCAAAGCATCATTTCTTATTTAATCCATAAGTTTCTTTAATAGTAAGTAACATTTATTAAAGATTTTTATTTGCCAATCACTATTCTAAGCACTTTTGTTTCATTAAACTCATTTAAGCATGTGATACAAGACACTATTACTGTCTTCCTTTTATCAATGGAGAAACTAATGACTTGAGAAACTATGAGCCAAAGTCACTGAGATAAAAAATGATGGAGCCAACGGTTCAACCCAGACAGTTTGGATGGAGAGGAGTTCTTAATTTCTATAGCAGGGTCTCTCAGTGATGGCACTATTGGCATTTGAGGCTGGATAATTCTTTGTGGTTGGGGGATGTCCTGTGACTTACAGGATGTTTAACAACATCCCTGGCATCTACCTACTAGTTGCCAGGAGCAGCTTCCTCTTCAGTTGCAATAGCCAAAAATGTCTGCAGACGTTGTCACCTGTACCCCGGGGGAAAAATTGCCCCCAGGTGAGAATCCCTGTTCTACAGTATACTGTTTCTCTAGGCATATGGAGTCAAGTAACTTAAAATGAAATGAATATGTACTATTATTTATTACTGGACAAGCACTAAGACTCCTTATTAGAGTAACAAACTGTTATACAGAAAAACTAGAGGCACTGGAAGATAATCCTCTATTCTTTTGCCACATCTCTGTTTCTTGTCTTACTCTTGACAGCTCCACCTTTCAAAGACACATCTGTAAGAAAGTATATTTACAATAGTTGAAACTTATCAACATCATCATGATCATTATCATCACAGCCTTCTTTTAGGGTAGTGGCAATTAAGACCCCTTATTGGAAAGAAAGTTCCTTAAATGACTTTCCTGGTAATGCAAATACAGTAAAATAAAAAATTCATGCATTTTAGAATCAGCAAGAGCTATATTGTAATTTAATCTCTGCTGTTGATGAGCTAGTTGATCCTTACTGACCTTATTTTCTCATCTATTTCATAAAGTGTAGGATGATCATTCATTTTACCATTGACTATTTCTCAAGTGCCTTGTATTTGCCAAGAAATATATCAGGTACTGGGGTACCTAAATAAAAACTGCTGTCCTTTCCAAAAAGGGTGTCCAGTGGGGAATATAGGAAAGTCAAACTGGTTGTGAGACAAGAGATCATCTACATATCGTACCTATTGAGCAAGGCCTGGCCACCTAGCCTCCAGTACACAGAAATTCCCTTGCGGTCAAATGGAGATAAACCTATCCTGACCTATCTAGGCTCACAAGGCAGCCTGTGGCCCAGGAGCAGACAAAGCTCACTGATCTGGGGTCAAAATTTTCCTGGCTGGAGTCAAGACTAAGATGGGTTTTCATGACTCCAGTGAGCCTTCAGTTGAGATGACGAGTCATAGACACTTATAGGGAGGTTTCCAAATGATCTTTGAGTATAAAGTTGCCTTTGAGTTCCTAACCATTGAACTAGGGGAAAGTATTTTGATTTATACCACAGTCTTGTAGAACAAGTCTGAGCAGAGGAAAGTGAACATGGCAGAATGACAAGCTAAGTGTGGTAACAGATTTGCATAGGTGTTGGGATATGCATGCAGAATTCATGATCTTACGGTGTGTGTGGAAAGAAGTTCTCATCTACACAACATATTGGCGGATGAGCATACTAAGCAATTTGCAAAGATAATATTGTTTAGGTAAATTTTTAACTGATGATCACAAAAAGAAGTACCAGAAGAACCAGTCAGTATAGGTTGTCTTAAATGTATCCATGTGTTTCACCTAGATACTTGTGGATTTCAAAAATGTTTTATTATGACACAGTAGATACAGATCATATATTTTGATTCAGTATGTATAGACAAATATATGTATGCATATAGGTATCTATATATAAACTGAAAATATATCATTTTTATATTTTAAAACCTTTTTTGTAAAAGTACTTATCCTTCCTACCTGCAAGAAACAATGGACACTCTGATATGTCATGATTTTTATCTTATGTTACACTCTGTTCTATCTGACATTCTCTTAAAAATTGGTTGCCACCACTAAATTGAATTCACAAAGTAAATTGAATTCAGAACTTTATGATCTGTGACCTGCAATCTGAAAAGCAGAACGTAGATTATAAGATTTATTACTTAACAAGTTGAAAATTGTTCACTTTCCCCACTAAAGTGGTCATTTTGATTCTTTCTCTTTGTTGTTCTTTACCATTCTGTTGAAGTCTCCTTGTTGTATGGGGGAGAAAAGATATCTACATTTAGGACCAAATAATAGGACAGATGATGAGGATAAAAGCAATTCTCTCCTACCTGGAGAAGATGGTGTGAAATGCACAGTTACATGGACGAATGCCTGCTATCTAAGGCTTCATAGAAGGACCATGGACCATTTTTACTCTCGAAGTTTTCAACATAGGAACTTTTCCTAAGCTAACCTTGCTGGAAGAAAGTCAGGCATTTTGCATAGTGATGTGACAGGATGTGGTATGAATTATGGAGTCCAAGAATGTTTTTTTCCCCAAACAGTGCTGGGGCCTCTAAGTGCATAGCTCCTGAAAGGGTTCAAGTAAAGGGTCCAATAATCATGGCGTTTTATGTAGATCATTATAGTCTTTGTGGAAAGTTATGAAATAATAGTACATTTTATGGATTCATTTAAAATAAAAAATTACTAGCAGAAATATATATGCAACATAAATCATAAGTATGGGCATAAGAAACATAAACTTTGAACTGAGCACATTTAGCTATTTGGAGGGTACCAGTAAATTAATTTTAATTAATTTGCTACTTGATTTTTCATGTTATTGTAGTCTTCTCTATGTAACCCACATACCATTTGGTATGATAATTATATAGTAAATTTCTTTTAGTTATTATAAATGTGTGTGGGGAGGGGATGGAGAATGTTTATGGTGTTATACAAGAGGAGTATTTTTGCCTATTTTAATTGACAAGTATGGGTCAGATGGGTAGATATTTCCAGGTTAGCCCCAACTGGGTTGTTTTTTTTCCCACCAGAAATTATTGAATGAGAGCCTTCCCATCAGAATCAGATACTGGCTGAGGCCAAAAATCAGAATGCTCTGCAGAGCAAACAATGGGTAGAGTTTAAGGACTCTGAGAATGAAAAAATTATTAAAATAAAAAGAAGCATTGCCAACATAATTCAAAATCAGAGGTTGACATTTTATAGAACACTTTCTTAGATTTATCATTGAAGGAAGCACATTTTCTTAGATTTCTCATTGAAAAAGAAATAGCAATTAAAGTGAACTTTGAGCCTGGCATAATTCCAAACTGAAAAATATCTGCAACTATAAATAAAGAACCCCTGTAATACCTAGCACAGTGTCTGCATGTAGTAAGTTATCTCTTGAAATAATGAGAAAAAGAAAAGAATGAGGACACAAAGTCTAAAAACATTAAATTAAATGTGACAGGAAGAGTGTGGGGTGTCCAGAAGAATATCGGCAAAGCACGGACAATACCATCCTAAGGAGCTTTCAGATGTGAATCCACCTGAAGTCAGTTCTTCTGGCTGAGGGGTTTGCTAGTGGTTCTGAGTGACGAGTGGCTGGAGTCAATGTCAGACCCATTCCTATGTGGAGAGTCCAGAGCTGCCCTGTCCACATTTTGCTCAAATTATCTTTATACTATTTATTGAGTTCTGGTTCTACAGTGTGTTAGGTTTATCTAAAAATTGTGGGTGTTCATGAAATCCCTATTTCCATAAATCCCTTGGGCTTGGTGTGTTGGCAAACACTGAAAGAACCATCACTGGTTATTTCAATCAAGATCCTAGGGTCTCATTTTTTATGGACCCCCAAATGTTACATTTATAAAATAAACTTTGAATATTAAAAATCAATCAGTCAATCAAGAGCTTAGTACCCAGTGGGGGAAATAAAAACAGTAAACAATAATCCTGACACAATAGTGTTATGATAGGCATGTTTATGCCTGGGATCCACCATTTGTTTGCCAACAGTTTGTAGCAGGCACCAAACTCAAAGAAATAAAAAATGGAAGAAAAACTTAATACTAAGGACAGTGGTACACACTGACTTAAATGTTCTACGAAGGTGGCAAGTCTGCCTGCTTTACTCTTAGTAGGAAAACAATACAGAGTTTTTGTCTATTTTGTTTAGCCAGTGTTTTGTGTCCTGAAGTGGGTTTCTGTGGAACACTGGTCTCACCAAAGCCTAAGGGGTTCTAAGGTCAGATCAGTGTGGGAAAGAGTGTGTGCCAGCATCACCACTGCTGCCTCTCACAAGCACATGCACAGCAAAAGTTCTGGGAATTATGCCGGTACAAAAACTGTTTGACCCAGGTTTTACCAAAATTTACTTGACCATAAAAATGCTTTGGGAGGACTTGAGTCTGCTCTTCAAGGACAAAGTATTATCTTGGAGCAGTACTGCATTAACCCAACCAAACTTAGGCTCTCCGTGCACTTATTGGGCACCTACCACATGGCAGTCCCTGTGCTAATACTTCCATTGAAGGTCCTTGAAGTTCCTCACTCTGGGCCTAAAGGTGCCCATCATAGACATATAGTCCTGGCTTTAGTCAATTCTGATCATCAGTAGACAGGTCATCTTTAACCTGTAAAATGAGTCAAAATCTTCCTAAAACGCACTGCTCAAGGTAGAGAGGTGAGGGACAGCAGGCATGGGTGGCGTGGCAATGAGGTTTGGAAGGATCACCAAGGAAGGGAAGAGAGACTCAGAAATG